AAAATTATGAACACAACGAAAACATATCGATCAAACCGTTCTCAAGTGATGCTATGTCATACTATGGTACTTGACTTTTAAATATGATCTATGTAGATTGATAGAATATAAATATGATAATCTGTTATTATTTTTAGTAAGCGTTGAATAGTTATATGACGACTTGATTTATTATTTTTCTCTTAAAAATGTCATTTAAATTTTTCGAAGCACTTGAGTATCCCTTGCGGGATTGGCAACGAAATCAAAGCTGCGGCAGGATAAATAATGATGCTGATAGATATGCCGTGGTAGAAATTACACGAAAATGACACTCCCACAACCACATCTTATTTCAACGACGCCACATTTGGCCTTCGTCGTGCTTCTAATCCATCGCATACAACAGACACCCTACCTGACGATACACTTCCACATTATGTAGGAGAAAAGTTAGTATAGCTGTTGCATCCTATTATTTTCTATCACTCTCTTGACTAGAAGGGTGAGTATGCTTTTTTACGACTCAAATGCCTGATAATATATTTGAAGATCGTTGCTTTCTTTATTTGAAATAGGAAATAATCTTCTCCATAGATTACAGCGCATAAAAATATTTGGATAAAACTGATAGCGTGCGTTTGACTCTTGCACGGAGTTGGAAATCTCAATTTCTTATCTGCAAAAAAGTAAAAAGACCAACGTATACTATACCTATATGGAAATTTACAAGGTTAGTCGTGTATGGTTACTCATTGGATGTCAAAGCTTGTAGTTTTGTCAGATGTGATGACTAAACGTATTTGTACCTACATACTTACCGTAGATTATGAGGAGTCACGTTTTATCTACAGTACATAATACATATAAATAATATAACGTAACTATAAAGTAGAATGGTTTTGTAAGATTGTGTGGGTATTTTATATTTGCTGCTGGAGAAGTAGTTTCTATTAATTCAAAGCCAAAGGCCAGCCACCAAATCCCTGGACGGACGCGATGAAACATGACATATACTTAAAATGTGTAGGAAAATTTAAAAATAAGGACTTATCTTAATCTTTGGGATTACAGTTAATATTTAATGATATATCACAGTCAGTACAGAGATAAAGTACACTATTTCATATTAATATAAAAAAAGTCTTTGCTTTTGTCTCCACTTTCACGTTTTTAACTTTCAAATAATTTTGATGAATTTTGGAATGTAGAGTAGAAGGATTTTGGTGAATTTCAATTTTGTAGCGTAAAAAAAATATGGGATAAACGCATGTTTCTGTAGGGAATTATTATATGTATAAGATAATCCAATAATTCCACCTAGATTAATTGAAGGACAACAAATTTGTATGTATAATAATTTTAGAATTAGCAGTAGTATCGGACAGTAAAGAATTTATAAAGTTACACGAGAAAGGACAGTCATAGTCAGGATTAGTAGGAACCATTTAATAATAAAGGTATAAAGAATCAAAATTAATTCAAAATGCTTTAAATGTCTCAGGCAAAAACCAAAACTCGAAGTAAACATGACAAAATATGATTGTTATTAGAACATATTTAAATGATCCTAAAGAAATAGTAATTGATCACCAAAAATACAACTGGTTACCTAAAGGTTATGTTAGGGTACCAGGGGGCCATTCGCCTAACAGAAATACTTTGGAAAACGCTAACGCTTACGATTTCATTTTGTTATTTCTAGCCGCCTGAGGTTTTCAAATGCCTCGCGCTCTTTTTTTTTTCTTTTGCATTGGTAATAACAATATTAAAATAAAAATGAGCGTGAGGTATTTGAAAACCTTCGGCGGTCAGAAATAACAAAATAAAATCGTAGGCGTTAGCGTTTTCCAAAGCATTTCTGTAAGGCGAATGGTCCCCAGTTGTATTTTGTCGAGGCTCATTTAAAATTGGACCTTTGTTTATTGTAAGAACCTACTCGTTTAGCTTAATAAGTAAATATTCATTATGTTGTTCGTTTAGTTGAAATAGAGCATTTGTAAATAAGTGCACAAAAATATCTTTAGTATTTAGTATTAGACGCTGTATACATTACAACACTAGATGTACAACATTCTACCATTGTCAGATAAAATGAAAAAGGAACTTAATCAATGTCTCTTTGTTATGTCTTATTTTCTGTTGTTTTTGTAGACGTATAATAGATAAACACTTAATTTATTGGACGTACTGCAATATTTTAGGCGTAAGCAACGCACAAAATAAACAAATAGCTTTTATGAGAAATTAACGTGGCTAATAAAACTTTTATTATCTTTTATAGTTTCAAGGAGAAATCGTAAATAAGCGATCGCCTCGCCGGGTGAAGAAGTATGAAAAACAATTGTCTGTTTACAGTCTGAAGATATACAGATTTTAGTAATTCAGAGTATGGAGACAAACAATGTGATTCGGGTAAGCCTCGTGGTTCACGAGAACACGAGTGCCACCATTCCGCACTTTGCACTATGTCAATGAAAGCTTAATTTGGCAATTGTACGTAGCGTCACTGTCTTAAAGTTAATTAATACGTCATACGTTTAATACGTCAAGTGGCTCAAAAATTTCGACGTCACATACGTTGGCAACTCACATAAATTGGGCCATGTCTATGTTGTGTAGCTCTTTTTTTTTTTAAAATTTTTATCCCTTTCAGAGGAAATTAAGTTCGGTTACCGCAATTCCCATTGAATGCTTTTCAAGTTTGCTCAGTCTTTGTCGGTTTGCGTTCACCTCGAAAGTTAAAAAGGTCTTTAAGCATTGTTTTCAGCATGCTTCGCGAAATTCTCAACACTTTAGTTGAGCGAATACCGCTCTGTAAACACTTTGTTGCTATTAAATAATCAGTTGGAACACTTGCTCATCGCGATAAGTTTAATGGTTCAGTCATTAGAAGTTAAAAGTTAGTTACGTTTTGCGATGTGGTTTGAGTACAAGGCGTTTTCCTCCGCTATTATTCAATCTAATATTATATACCAAAATTAGTTTTCCCCAATTTTACCAAATTGCTTATTACATTTCATTAGCTTTTGTTACTTTGCTATTATTCTTTTACGAAAATTTGGATGTTCTCATTTTAGTTAATTAGATCTTGTTTTTGTATTGTTGAATAGACATCTTTGTCATTTACCATGCTTTTTGTACGTGATTGTTCAATTTAAGATTACAGTTTTCACGCTGATAATTTTACTTTAGGAACATCTAACAAAATTTATTTGGTCATAATTTCGAATGTTTTAATTTCCACATTTTTAGGAGCGAATGAACAATAATAACTTACCGCTCTAATAAAAATAAGTCTACAAAGTTAGGATTTAAAGTGTGGTGTGGAAACATTTCAGTTTTTTCGAAACTTTACAATATGTATATCAATATAAACTTTATGTCACTTGAGGATGGAAAACACGCGATGGGGACATACATACACCTTTTGACTTGTTTATAACACCGCCGATCGAAGCTCTTCTGTATTGTTTCTTCATATCACGCATATGCCAAATAACGTCTGGTATAAAACAACGAATTAGTATTAAAAGGTACTCTAGAGTATTCGTAATTTTTGGATTCACTGAAGTTTTCAAATCACATGCTATTTTAGAATTTGAATAACCATATAGTTGGGTTATCACTATATTTTTTTATCTAATTCGTAGATGGCAATACTTATAGTACAGTCAAATATATAATCATGTAAGCATTATCAATCTACACTATTTACCACTCCACTTTATGACTGATACTTCTACCTAAATTCTGGATACTTGAGAGTTTGCTATTTGGAGAGTCTTTATTTTTTATCTGGCAATAGCCTATTGACCCAGTGGCCGCGTTCGTGACAAACAAGTCATGTACTCGTATGCGGGAAATTCGCCTTAGTAAGGGAAGCCGAAGTTTATGATTTTTCGGGAAACATACGCTGGGTTAATGTTCTATCCACTTGTGGAATTATGTTTTATCAATATAAGAGAATTCAACAAACTTCGACAAAATAACCGACATGATAAGTGTGTTCACATTTGAAACCTGTTAATTTTTCTGACCAATGCAGTACAGTTGCATATTTTCTTGGTACTTTGAACCGATATATAACAAAGTATTTAACTACTCGCTCATATGAATAATTATTTGTTTAAATTTAAATTACAAAATAGTAGCGATACAGATACATTTACTGTACTGAACAATTGAAAACTGATATTTGTTTTATCATCTTTCCCGGAGAGCAGTCTCTCATAGTTTTGTGATATTGTTTCTTTGGAAAGATTTGATACGGACTTGTTTTGGGTCGAGTACAGGGTGGAGACAGCGCGGTCGTCGCCGCCCCACGCTGCTGTGTCGTGTTCAATCACTTCTATTTCGTATATTTATTAAATTTTTAATATATGGGATCTGAATATCAAAAGGTTTAAAGTTGGGAGTATCGAAAATGGTAAACTGTTGATGTAGCTATTTACCACCAAATATATATGTGTATATAAAAATATATTTATATCTCTGAAGTTATCCATATATTTATATCCACGACTGCATTGTAAGAGAGGAGATAATTGTAAATATATTAATATCGCAAATATTACAAATTATTTAAATTTATTTAGTAAGGAAAATGACTCTTTCTTATTTTGTGCTGTTTTCTTTTAAACTGGTAATAACCAAAGAAGAGTTTTGTTGTTTTAAACGAAAACTGATTTGATAAAAAAAGCTTTTATGGAAGTTTTCAGGTGATACATCCCTATAAAAGTTCAGTATTACGAAAAAGGAGTAAAATATGTGTTGTTTTGCAATCCCAGATAGTTTCATGACAATTTCAAATAGATTAAGATTTCTTATATTAAATTTCCCTTCGATTGTCCCTACAAAAGAAAAAATATTTTTAATACCTAGGCTAGGTTTTTATTTAATAAATAGAATTACCAGTAAATTCTACATTACATCAAATCTTTTTATGACAAAAAATATTCTAGATGAAAAATAATGTAATTTATAACTATTATTATAAGTATTTTTCATTTACTTGCTAGGCACCGGCCGAGGCTCGTCCCCCGAGTGCCAGCCCACTTGCTCCTGAAGTAACTGGCGCTTCTCAACCTCGACCGCCCTTGAACAGGGTTGATTCGCGTTCATCTATACAACCACGACCAGTTGGTCCACCTCAAGGTCAACCGCGCCCACAGTTTCAACCAGGAGGTCCAGTGACAGCACCTTCTAAGTTTGGCCCTCGCCCTGGCACACCAGTTACGCGTGGACCACTGTCTACTGCTCCGCCTGGTAATTCTGGTAATCAGCAAATAAGACCACCGCCATTGCGCCCACTTGGACCACAGTCAATTGTTCCACAAGGTCCAAGACCTTTACAATCACCGACGTCAGGACAACCTCCACAGAGAACACTGCCACCAAATAATTTACAGTTTGGTCCAAGACAACCTCCCCAGTTTGGATCTGTCACTACACCTGAAGTTAATCGGCCACCTATAGTGCAGCAAGGTAACGGAGCTCCTAGAAACGGGGCAAATAATACAGGGCCACCAACCGGCCAAATTCTTAGGCAAACATCACAAGGCTCTTTAAGGGGCCTGGAACAATCGAATACGTACCAAAATAAACCAGCAACCCTGGATACCCATAACCAAAACATTTCCAATGACAATCAAAATGATAACAAACCAGAAAATGGCATTGATATGCCAGGCATGGCAAAGGGAAGAAGTTTTAGTATTGCAGCAGCTCCTGGAACACCAAGTCCTCTTAAAATGGAAGATGATAGAAGGAAATCAGTAAGCGCTATTAGTGGAAAAATAGAAGAGTTCACAAGTAAAAGTCCAGCCCTTGGTTTGATTCAAGAAGCCAAAATTGAAAGCAAAGAAAATATACGCGCATCTCAAGAAAATGTCAAAACGATTGAAGCTAAAGATGTTCCTGAAAGGCCAGAGTCGCGATTGTCTGGTTCTAAAATGACGGATTCCATAATAGGCTCATTAACAACACCTATAAAGAAATTAAATGATGATGACGATGTAATTTCACAAAACGTTCCTGTGCCTGCTAAGAGTAGCAACCAACTTATACAAAATCAGAATAAAGTTGATTTGTACGATCGTTCACCGTCTTTAACACGAAGCGAAGAGTCTCCAGAACCAAAAACATCACAGAGTCCAGCATTATCGCAGAAATCTCATACGCCTGAACCACAACGTCCCAAAACACCAAAAACCGAAATTAAGGAAATGAGATCAGTGCCTGTGGTTCAAGAAAACAACAAACCTATTCCGAAATCGCCAGCGGCAGAATCTAAGCCGCCATTGCCAGTACAAAAGAAACCCAATGAACTTATAACATCCATTACGCCTACTGATTCTAAGAAGTCTACTCCTCGCAAAGCAGCATCGGCACCAAAAACTCGAGCTAAAGGTAACAAAAACGTAGGATCGTTCAAGTTTTCATGAAAATTTAATATCAGTAAGCAAGATAGTTAATTATTGATATAAATCAAGCAAACATTTTTTTATTGTAACATCAACATAAATATAGGAACCTCTTATTAACGATTCATATGAGCCAAACCCGAGTCTTATTATTGTGTTTATTCTGATATTTTTTAATATATATCTGTCCTTTCAGATGGGGATAACGATAGTGGCGTTGATGAATCTACTCAAGGAAACGTAAGAAAATTAATAAAATATTTAACACTAAAATAGAAGTAAGGCCTATACATAGTTTTTTTTTATCAGGATATGAATGGTTCTCCGGGTTCACCGAATAAGAAAATTCCAAGCAAGTTGCCAACAAAGGAAAAATCAAGCAGTAGCCTCAAACATAATCTTTCGCGATCATCGAGCAAAAGTGCTGCTGCTAAAACTCCAGAGAATCCGACTCCAACTGATAAAAAGAGTAAGTTTTTTATACATTGAATACCTCTAGTTATCAATCGATCAAACGAAACTGGGATTTCCCTGCAGACGTTGTGGTCATTGCATGGTTTAAGGTCTCTTTAAGCTCATCCATACAGCAGGCATTCCCTTCTCTGCCTATCCTTTCGAAAAATTGCAGCTTTTGAAGTTCGTTCTAGCATACAATGCGTTTTGGTTGACTGAGATTTTTTTTATCTCTGTGTCTGTACACCGGTTTCAAGGTGTCACCAACTCTGAGGGTTTGAACCCCGGTAGGCGCATAATAAATAAAATAAATAAATATTTCCAACACTCACACCAATTAGCCTAGCCCCAAAGTAAGCATTGTAGGCTTGTGTCATGCGATACTAAAGTAACAGAATAAATATACTAATACATATATAAGTATATTTATATAGAAAAACATATTAAACATCCATGACTGGAGTACAAACGCTCGTATTCATCACACAGACATCTGCCCCACCGGGATTCGAACCCGGGACTACTCGAGTAGGCGACATCTTGAAACCCGGCGTACAAACCGCTCGGCCACGAAGGTCGTCATGTAATGTGTATGTTCAATACGAGTATTTGTACCTGAGTCATGTTCTTGACTATTAACATATTTCTACTAAAATATACTTATTTAAGTCTCATAATTATAGTTATTTCTATCCGTTACTCTACCATAAAAGCCTTATAGTGCTCTCTTTGGAGATAGGCTCATTGGTGTGAGTTATAGAACATTAAGTGATTAATAAGGTTATATGGAGATTTTGCTGAAATTATTCTAGCTGCTACCTCTACTATTTTTCCCCATGTAGATCCGGGAGAGAACCATTTTTTATATATATTTTTTGGTATAATATTATATGAAATTATATTATTTATTTATTTTGATACCGGGTTTATAAGTCTAGGCATTTATTTGCTACGAAACGGGTATTTGTACGACATGACGCACTTAATTTTCCGGTCCACATGAAACACCCACATCCTCAATATAATGTTTTTTATGATTTGCTTATTATGTGCAAAACAAGGCATTACATATAACTAAATGAAAATAGTTATAATTTTTATTATTTTAAAGCACGTAACTGCTTGATGTTTAAATCTAAAGAAAATATAACTAGAAAAAAATCCACGCGGACCAGGCAGCAGACGGGACTCGAACCCGCACCCTTCGCAATCCGGGCGAATGCACTGACCAATTATGCTACCGCGGCCCTCACGGACCGCGTCGAAATTCTTCTAGCCATTATTAAGCTGCAAGGCAGCGGCCATCTCTTCGCATTATAGGTAATAGGTAAGTTTTCTTTTTCTAGTTATATTTTCTTTAAATGTAAATACTTAATGCTCAAACATTTGTTAATGAATAATTATATTTTGAATCCATTTTTTTTTCAATGTACCTACATACAAAGAATATTTTCAGAAGTATATAGTATGTAAATCGCTAATAATTATAAGGTTAGGGTAATACTTTTTTCCATCTGAAAACTGCATCATACTAGTAAGAATGATATTAATAATAATCTTGTCCTCAATTTAAATTTCAAACTCAGTCTAGTCAAATCAAATTTAATTTGCTTACGTAAATCGTCCATTGATAGGCAATTATTGCTGAAGTATTTGCGTCCCGCGTAATAAGTTTATTTGCGTATTTATTTATGAAGTACAAAATTGTCAAAATTTTATTGTTTGACCCTCTTTATTATCGGTCTTTTACTGGGTTAGTCTCCTCACAATACAAATGCTTCTACTTTGAGTTCAATGATAAATAAAAAAACCTTTTAAAAACTGTTTTAGGGGAGAGCGGGGCTGAAAGTGCCGATTTTGACAAATCGCTAGATACATAGGACGCGACGAATACTACGATTAATAGTCCTAGCTTATCTTATGTAAAATTATATGTAGATTCTAAATTTGTAACCAGTTTTTGTACATTTTTAAAAGATTTTTGAAGAGATTTATATTTATGATTTTATTTATTTTTTAAGCATTTAAGTGCTAGATGTTTAAATCTAAAGAAAAGTTTACTAGAAAAAAATCCACACGGACCAGGCAGCGGACGGGACCCGAACCCGCATCCTTCGCTATCCGGGCGAATGCACTGACCATTATGCTACCACGGCCCTATTAGCCGCGTCGAAATTTTCCTAGCCTTAAGCTGCAAGGCAGCGCCATCTCTTCGCATTGTAGGTAACCCACAATGTCAAATGAATACTTTTTCAAGTATTAAACATTTTGAAAGAAGAAATAGCAATTATAGTTATGATTTTATTTATTTTTAAGCATTTAAGTGCTAGATGTTTAAATCTAAAGAAAAGTTTACTAGAAAAAATTATATTTTTAGAAAAAAAAATTATATATTCAGAGTTCGTAAGGCACTGCTGACCCCGTGCGGCAGCAAGTTGTGCTGCAGCTGGGGTTGGTTGTGCCGTATATAATGTCTGGCTTGTTATATGTATTTTTAAATGCTGCTTTTAACAATAAAAAAATATAAAATTCGATAGCTTTACATTTATTCATTCAAAATAAAACATCATCATTTTGGGAGATTTTATATTTTAAATCAGTGAAATAAACTACTAATTATTTATTATTACCCTTCTTATTGTTTTATACTAACAGTTCTTCTACATTATTATTTTTTACTTAATTTGAATATAAATGAAACTAAGTTCTAACATTTCTCCCAATAACCTGAGTTCAGCTTGATGATTTTATCATATTAATTGATTTCACAAATAAGACATCAATTAACTTAAATATAAGAAAAATAAACAAAAACATTAAGCAAAATAGCAAGTACACAAATGTTAACCTTTTTTTGAGTTAGTTTCCTTAAGTTAGAGTAGGAGTCAAAGCACGGGATATAAAGTTGTTGCATCTAAAGATGCAGATGCAGCAGCTAAGCAGCTTGAAATTAATAGAAATAGTTGATTGCGCCGCGGCTCAACCGACCTCAATTGAACGAAACTTTTTACCCCATTTCAATAACATTACTTTTTACCATATTTCATGTCAAAAAAACCGTCTGAACAAAGTGTCAAAATTGCACAGATTTTTATTTCTGGATGAATTACAAACCCATATCCGTAATACTAAAAATGCTTACATTGGACCAAAAAGTATTAACACAAAAAAAGTTTTCATATGAGATGAGGGGTATACAAGTTGGTAAAGTCCACATTGCCAAAATGTTCAGTAAACGATAAAAACGATTATTTTAATATTTACATTATTTATATGTAGAATTATGGAAATACAAGTATTATAAGTATAAGATGGACTTTCCCAGTTTTGTTACCAAGTTTTGGACTTTACTAAGTTTGTAACTGTAACACAACAAAAGCACATTACAACATCAAAGGCGGCCATGACAGCTGTCAGTGAAATGGAGGCAATGAAGTCTTCCTATTGGTCAAAAAGGACTTGAAACTCAACTCACTTGGACTTCGCTCTGTTTGTTTGTAAAGTCAATTTTCAATTTGAAATAACATTTCAAATTGAGGAGATTTCTAGAATTTGTATAAAATTATAAATGAATGTGTTGTAATTTAAATCTCACTTTTCAAATTTTGTGTACTTTACCAACTTTGATTGTATACCCCTAATATGTGGTTTTCAAGGATCACCTCACACGCTGTTACCAGATCTCATAGAAACATATAATTATCGCTGTCTGTTTTTTAAATATTGGTATCGGAACAACTTGCCCCCCACTTTCAACCACACTCTCCCATACACTAAAAAAAAGGATGCGTGTAACTTATGTACGCGCGTGAGAAGTTATACTTCTTTAGCATCATTAAAAATATTTTTTAATTGCATGCAAATAATTAATAATTACAATAAAATAATAAAAGGACTGGAAAAGGAGAGTTAACACAGTCAATTTAAGTTCAGTTTTAATTTGAAAAATTAAATAAATATTCAAAATATTCAATTAAAATCACTACTGAATTTAAGTTATTAGTCCATATGTAATTAGCACTTGTAAGTAACTAAAACACGTTGTGTCTATAAAGAAACTAGAAACATGTGGATAAATATTAATAATGGTGATATTATTAGACACTAACATTCATAACGCGCCCGCGGCCAACTTCATGGTGTTACTATTGTGTTACAGTGATGCGCGCGCATCTCGAAATTTCACTCACATGATTTTTTCATAACGCGCCCGCGGCTAACTTCATTATGTTACTTTTGTGTTACAGTGATGCGCGCGCATCTTAAAATTTCACTCTCATATTTTTTTCATAACGCGGCTAAAGAAGTATAACTTCAATATAAAAAAGAAATACCTACCTAATAAATAATTGTCTATATCGATCTACTCCATTAATGTCATTTGTTGTATTACTTATTACCAGAAGTGCCGATGAATAAGGTCCAAGTGGGTAATGCGCCATCACCAAATATTAAAACTGTGAAGTCTAAGATCGGTTCCCTGGATAATGCCACCTACAAACCAGGCGGCGGCAAAGTGAGAATCGAAAACAGGAAGATTGATTTTAATAATGTCACACCCAAGATTGCCGCGAAAAATCAAAACTACACACCAAGTGGTGGTTCAAAGAAGGTATAAATAACTTTTTAAACTTATACGCTTGGCTTAGTTACTCAATGTTTTGTCTCTGTTAAATGATTTACAAATGGCATTTGAGTGATATGAACAAAACAAGGTATAACTAGTCTACGCTTATTCCTTGTTTATTAATAAGGGGACCAAAGTTTCTAACTCTTACATTATGAATTATGTAGATCATCAACACTACAAGCTAATGGCGTTTTTACAGATTACTACTACAAAGCTGGAATGGAATGCAAAGTCAAAGATTGGATCGTTGCAAAACGCATCTTACAAGCCAGGAGGTGGTGACAAGAAGATCGAGACTGTCAAATTAGACTTTAAAGAAAAAGCGAAGCCCAAAGTTGCATCGACGGTTAACCTAACTCATAAACCAGGTGGAGGAGCAATTAAGGTAAAAAATCATATTCAACAGATTTATAAATCATTAATAATGTTTCGTCAGTCCGAAATGCTAGGTATTAAAAAAATCAGTGAGTACAATCACAAACATGTAGATTACAATATGAGCTTCAGTAGTAGTAATCATATGGGTAATACTTACGCGTATTTCAATGCATTTGGATATAACATAGAGCACACAATTGCAAAAAGATGCTATGTAGATAATGTACAAGTAGATATTATTATTGCAACGATCATATTTTTTCTTAAAATAAATAACAGTAATTGTTCTTCAGTCTACAGTTGCATATAATGGGACAAAAGCAGTGAGTAAAAATAATTTTCTAAATGTCACTTTGTTTGTGTCTTATCACACTTGCACTATACCAATAATTTAAGTTGTATAATCCCGGAAGAAAACAGTTTTATCTCTATAGATAAAACACTTCGGAATTACGGCTAGTTTAAAGTATCGTTGTTGTTTTTAGTTTATAAAATGGGCGTTACCAAGGTGGAGAGCATCGCATAAACACTTTGCTTTCCATTCTTTATGGAGAAAGGTCAGTTTGGTAAATTTCTACGGGTTATGAAGATATAAATAAGTATTTGACGAAAAGATATTGAGTTCGTTGTTGCGGCTGCTTTAAGCACGCTGTTCGGCTTCCATGAAAGTGTTTACAAGGGAATGTTTGATTCACGATAATTAGGGAATGATATATCACTACAATTTTATATTGTTTAAAGAAACTATGTGTGCTGATGTTAATATTTAAGAGTTATGAACTACAAATAGAAATTCCGTAAGACAACAGACTGAAGCGGAGAGCTGAGAGAACTAGATGGTTACAAGCGTTAAGATAATGTAACACACACACGATTCACCTGAAAATGGTCGGCGTGCACGCTATGGAAATCAATATCGATTATGTATGCATAACCTTTTGATGGAATAAGCACACGAGATGCCATGAAACATTTTGTCTTTTAAATAGCACTTATATTCCTAATAAATTTATGTATACGTGTGACGTATTATGATATTATTGAATGTTATATTTATTTAAGTATTTTTATGATTATATACATCACGAAGTTCAGCATGCCTTAGTGTATGCTATTATTCTTAGGTCTACAGATATGTTTTCCCACAGTTTAGATATTATAACGTTCAAAATGACCCTTAAATTTGATGAAGATTACTAATTCAAAGTTTTTGAATTCATAACCACTCATTAATCACATAATAATTAATTGTATTCAATAATTATGGATAAAAGTTTGTGAAACGTTGATATACGAAAAGAAGAAAGATAACTTTTTCTTGGCATATCTGGAGACATTATTATTTAATGAAAATACATACATATATATTTCTATTATTATATTTGCACATTGGCTCTCCCGAACAGATTGAAAATCAGAAATTGGAAATCAAAGCTCAAAGTAAAGTTGGATCCCTGGACAACGTAAAACACAAACCCGGAGGTGGTGACATCAAAATATTCGATGACAAAGACTACATCAAGCAGGTGGCTGGCCAGTCGCCGTTGCCGGATGGCCGTTCGCACTCGCGCCAAGAGGTGAGGCCAACAAATGGTCTCTGTAGAGCCTTCACATTCTATGTTGACGTTCCCTTTGGTGTTGGTTTTCTTTAATTTTTTTGATTTCCTAACAGTTTCATATTCTTGTTTCAGAAAGATTATTTATACACTTTTTACTGAATATGTAATATTGGGTGTGGTTGTCACGTGTTCATTTCTATTACGACTAACAAGTTCAGTTTTCTGCGACTGTGTTTTTATGTTTGTTTTGTGGTTTAACTTTATTGTTTTTTATCGTTAATGGGTCATATTTATTAACGTGCGCTTATTATTGTTTATGTAACTTGTGTGAATTCTGCCGTAGAGTCCACTACCGCCATCGTCGCAGCCACCCAAATCGGATGAGAATCTTAATCAACAACCGTGTTAAGAAGACACGCAAAGGAGACTTCAGGTTCTCAGTTCATGGATCAATATTAACTTTTTATAATCAAAAGTCCAAATTTCGTATTTTTTTTAAAATATTTGTTATTGATGTATTCGATATACGTACCTACCCAGATAGAGTGATCATCTGTGAGCTTCTTTTTATTGTTATAACGAAAATCAATGTCAATGATTTTTAGCATATCTATAAGACAATATTTAAGAATTGTTTGTTTGTATTCGATGAATACTTTGACTATTTTAGTAAAATCACTGAAAATATTGTAGTGGTATTGAATTGTGATTTATGTTGACTTTGACACTGTACTTTTAACATATTATACTGTATTATTTTAAATGATGATTGCTAAGAGTATCATGAGTGCCAATACATTAAACCTAGCAAATGTAATTTCATATTCTATACAATATCTACAGTAATACCCGCTTTATCGTTACAAAAGTCGCATACCTTTTAATCCTTAACTGCAATAGAAAATATTTGGAAAATTCCTCACGGCACTTGTTTTATTGTATATGCACTAACACTAATGTGGTTGTTTTGTCAAGTTCAACAATTGATATTTATAAGTGATATTCATATAAGTAAGAATGCCTTCGTAAATTCTAATTTAAACTTGTATACTTTTTGATTGACCCATGTTCATTGTTGTAATCGTTTGTTACTTAGCGTCATTACATTAAATCATACAACCCACTTGATTTGTATAATTTGGAGTGAAGTTTAATGTGAAGTTTGGAGAGTTCTTGGCACAGCAAAGTAGCAAAACCAGAATGTTTCTACTTAATACTACTGACGACAATGATACCTATTATGCTTGATGAACTGTTAGCTTTTCTAAAAGTAACAATTATTTACAATAGAATGTGACTCTTTTGTATTTTTATAATGTTTGCTGTGACTGGAACGGTGCGAGTTCGAGATGACTGACCAGATTAAAGTTAATTAGAATAATAAATGTTTATATTATACTACATTTTATTGTATGTAAGAAATAACTAGATTTAGATAGCGCGTTTCTATTCAAAGCTTCGAGTCACAAAATTTACTTGCAATGGCTTTTGATTAAAACTGTTTTGCTATCTGTTAGTATTTATTCTACCATAGTTACGTTAAGCCTTAACCTAAACCTTCCATTGTTTTATAAATGTAGAGTTATTTTTAAAAGTCAATTTTGTTTCAATTTATAAGTTTTTGATCAATGACGTAACGGTCTACGTAGATAAAGTCATTTTTTAAACATTTCAATTAGTTTTAATGGAATTATTTGTGAACGCAAAACGATTGACGTATTATGGAATTAGTAAAGATCATAATAATTTAACACCAGTTAAGTTGTTTTATTTAAAACTAGTGTAAATACATGTTTTTATTTAGAATTCACAGCATTATCACTAGAGTGGATTTTAAATGTACAGTTGCGGCGATGTTGGCTGAAATGTTTGTAGGCAATAATTTAAAATACGACTGGCCCTGCTAAGTTCAAAAATTCATTGCAGTCGGAGGATCGCTTTGAAAGAACAGTTATTTTTATTTTTTTGATTTAGAAGTGTCCACTTTACATGTTAACGATATATCTGTCTTAGGATGATTAGATAAATTGAATTTTCGCGAACATTCTAGGGATTTGGCGAAAACGCAGATAATGAAGCAATGGCGATGACACTTTTCAATCTTACTGAAAAAAGGAGAAAAGATATGATTTGTGCGAAAACGAGTGTCGACTGCGAAAATAATCTTTGGATTACCCATATGAATGGGGTTTTGGGTTATTGGGACACTAGGTTAGGTTAGTGTTGTGACCATGACGCGTGATCCGAGCGAGCGTAGCGATTGTGCCGCAGCAGCGGCCCGCGAAGCGCTTGAAATAAACATTGTTAACATTAATTACGTAATTATAGCTCAATCTTACGAGCAATGTCATGGCTATTGTTAAGAATTCGCATTTTCGCAAAATTCTTAGGATTTTCGCGAAAATTCGATTTATCAATCATCCTACGACATATCCAAATCTGCTCAGGCATTTAGTAGTTTAATCACGGAAACAATATACATGAACCCAAAAACATTACACTTTATTTTTGACAGTCGTGATTTGGTAAAAAAAAACTGTTAATGTGAATTTATGTAGGGCAACACGGTCGTCACTGTACAATAAGTTCATAGTTTGTAGGTAGGTATTGTACTGCAATTTACATTGATCTATATAAATATTATAGTACCGATGCATAACTGATGCAATTAAGTATGTATCTGTGTTATATTATTTTGATATTGTCCTACAGTTACGTCTAAAAATATGTTTAGTTATACCCCTATGAAGATATAATCACAATGATATTAGTATGAATCAGATGTGCTAAAATTTGTATACATATTTTTGGATTTAACTGTGCGTAAAAAAGGCGTAATTGAGTGTAGCCAAGAATACTTACAGATTTACCACTTTGCACCCACACGCACTTAGTGCCTAAATCATCGGATGAATTGGTAAGTGTTTGCTTATTTTATAAATTATTATTTTTCCTATTTTGTTATTCTTTAAGAACATTTAAATGTTTGCAATTCAACAGCCACGTGCTTTTTTATCTAGGTAAAATTAAATCACCTTATGATATTTTGTCTTCAGAGTCTCATCAAGTTTTGTTCTGTAAACACATGACTTGTTTACCAGGTTCCTTCTAGCTTGCATTTTGTACCTAGCTTTCAAAAGTATTGTCATTAATTCGCAGTGTTACCAATTGGAACAATACAAATGTTTCTAAATCACCTGGTATTAAGTACTAGACTTTGACTGCCAAATCATCCGAGTGGACTAGACAAAACGGGATAAAATCCAGAAATGAAAAAAAAACTAAGCTAAATCTGAATTCCATGAAATTCTCGTGGTAATAATGTACGTAAATGGAAAAATGTTTCAATCAAATAATCATTTTATTCAACATAACAAGCCTTTAAAGGCACTTATGAAAATTGCAAGCTGTGTGATTTTGGTGATAAATAATGAAATAAGTTAGCTGTAGTAATCTTTTGAACGTCCCTAATGTTTTATCCTCAATCAAGCAGTTAACTATAGTAGTATAGTTAAAAATATATAACAGAAAATTTGGGTGTCGCTTGATAAAATAAAATGAATAGATAATATTGATAAAGAATTGTTGATGTAAAATTTATCAAAAAATAAGTTCATCAACATAGATAACAAGCCTGAATTATAATATTATGTTATCAGTGATTACTAATATGACATTGTATATTTAATTACCAAACATAATTTTTTAATTAAATTTTTGATGGAATTATCAATAGAGCTCTATCAAAATAATGTACAGTGGATAAAAGTTATAACAAAGAATCAAAGATAGAGAGTATAAGAATCAGACATATGTTTGCACTTATAATATTCTCTTTAACTGTTTTTTTACCAGTTTAAAATAACCCATACTAAAGGTAGCTTATTGATCCCAACTTTTGGACAAGCAACACGAAATATTTTATTACATTGAATCTAAAGTCAAACATTAAAAAAGATCATTTGAGTTACAACATTAACATCGTGTTGCTTTCACACAGGAGGCATACGACGTGACAGAAGAATATTATGAAGAGTACCGTCCGTTTTCACGTTGCCGCTCTGCGCGCGTCTCCCGCACCCCGCGCACTTTGTCTCCTCGTCGCAAGTACCCAATTACGGACGAAGACGACATCGTCCGCCGCAACAACGAACGCAACCGACGACCATCCACAGCTCGCCCGGTTAGCGCTCGCGAGCCATCGCGACCCGTATGCTCGAGGCGCACTTCGATAACGCAGCGTCCAGCTTTTACTATTTACTGAATATAACCCCTTATGTAAATGAATTTAGGGATTACGTAAAAAGTGATGAACCAGCGATTGGTAAGCACTACACACTGACACTAATATCCTTTGTGTTGTCCGCAACAGCGAGCTTCCAAAGCTCGCCCGGCAGGCGCTCGCGAGCCACCTCAACCCGTTTCGATAAAGCAGAGTCCAGCCTTTTCTATTTATGGAATATAACCCGTTATATAATTGGACACAGAAATTTTATAAATAACTAGTTGCCCGCCCTCGCTTCGCTTCGGTGTAGAGCTGTAGTGTGGACTAAAATGACTCTTTATATAATTATAAAAAAAACTGAAAATGGTATATGTATTTGCCTTTTCCAAACTTCGATTCTTTACGTCACTCAATTGTTTTGCCTTCCTGGAACCTCTCCACTAACATTTGAAATTTATGGTATTGTAATAAAGTTCAAATTGACTTTTAAGTGTTATTACGAATCGTTTGTATGGGAGTATAGAAAAGTGTTGTTTTTGGACTTTTTCAGGCAATTTTTTTAATTTTTCTCTATAATTATCGAAATCGGTTCTGCTGTTCTCGAAATTTGCGTTTAGTAACACATTCAGCGATTCATTTTTATATTATAGATAGATGACGAGGCTGCGGGTGGTTAGCAACACACACCCACACTAATATTTTGTGTTCTCCGCAACATCGAGCTTTGACTGCTTTCTCGAATAGCGCTCGCGAGCCGCCTCGCACCATTTGCTCGAGGCGCACTTCGATAACCCAACGCCCAAAATTTTCTATTTACTGAATATAACTCCTTATGTAATTGGACTTTAGGGATAACGTAAATAGTGATGAAGTCAAGGTTGTTATGCACTGCACATCGACACTAATTTTCTCTGTATTCTCTGCAAGAGTTCGCCTGGCTAGCACTCACGAGCCGCTTCGCACTCTTTGCTCGAGACGCACTTCGATAACGGATTACGGAGCGACCAGCACGCTAATAGCTTTTATCTCCTAATAACCAAACTTTACAATATCTTTTCATTTGCCATTGGGAAGACAGTTAGACAAAGAAGCTTGTTTTGACTATAATTACTAAAATTTTAGGCTTACTTGTGTGTAAATGCAAGTGCTGAATTTGCTTGCACACGTAGAGTCTTATTTAAGCACCACTCTCACCACAAGCGTGTAGAACTGTAGAGTTCAATAGAATTGATATTAAGAGCTGCAAAATAAGTTTTGAAATCTCTTGCCGCTGCGTCTTCGAAAAGAAATAGTCCTGCCAAGAGTCTTTCACTCTGGAATTCCAATTTTTATTTC